TTCAAGCTAACGGTAGTTTAATAGAATCAATATCTGTTTAGAGAATATACGTCTTACTATAAATTAATAATTTTAAGTTCTGTTTAATTCCATATAATATCGTATGTAGGTAAATATATAAAAAAAAAAAAAAAAAAGCTTATACTGGACGGTTGTACCACTGTTGTAGGTGAAAACTAGGGAAAGTAAGATACATAAAATTATGTTTAAAGATGATAGCTAAGATATATAAAGACATTTTGTTTATATTTAAAAGCCACAATAAACCATTGCTCACCAAAAATAATTCAGAGGGAAGTTCGTTTATAAATATTTGGAAAGAGTGTAATAAATTATATAAGATCATCATCAAAATTTGATATTAATTCTTATACATAAAACTTTTTTTTACCACTAATTAAAACTTATATTGAGCTTCTTGTTAAATTTGAAAGCATATTTTTTAGTTAATTAATTTAAAGATAAAAAAAAAATACTTAAAAAATTCGCAAAATTAAAATACCCATAAATAACTCAAGAATTGGTTAAAAGGTTTTAAAATTTTAACTCTTCTAAAAAATACAACTATATGTTTTCATTATAATTGCAAGACTCTAAGAAAATACCATAACATTTGATATAAAATAATACATACGATATTTCGAATCGTAAATAATATCTATTTATTATAATCATTAGTATAATAATATCTTTTTACGTTTATAAAACGAGTGATAATAAATAATATAGTTAATGTTATTGATAAGGAAATATTATTATTCCGAGAACTTGTGTTTTTTTTTTTTGTATTTATCGAAGTCAAGTACAGTCGAGAAAATAAATAAATTTTTATTTGATATTATTTTTTTATTTTTGCCTCATTAGTATAGCACAGGGGAACCTAATTACACGAAAGTAAAGTCTTAAATTTTTTCTGTTCAAAAGCTAATAAATAAAGAAAAATATAAAACGCGTAGTATTACAATTGTAATACGCTCTTGGCGTATCGATTATCTTATCAGCAAGACCTTCGTCATTGAACGTTTTTTTCTTACACCGTGTTATAATAATTTATCCGAATTGTCTTGATAACTATTTTGGATTTATATTAGAGGCTTAATAATAACAAAACAATAAATAAATTTGTCAATTTTATTCCATAAAAGTATGCATATTATAATATATACGTACCTAATAATGGTTATACACCTACTATATGTATTGGTTTAGTGACTAAAATCATTTTTTTAATTATTTAAAAAAAAAAAAAAAAAAAAACTGCTAATGAATACAAATTCTGAAAAAAGTTTAGATATACTTGCATATTTTTAAATGCTGTTATTTGTACGATATTCGTCCACATTTTATCTTAAAAATAAAACAACAATACCACCACTTTGTTTTGTTTTGGTCACTAAGCTTTAATAACTTCTTAAGATAGTCGAAAATCGTGCATTTCTGTTCGATCAATCAATTGTATATTAATTGTATAATTGTACATAATATACATAATATACAATTGTATATTATGTAATTAAACCAAATAAAATCTAAAAAAAAAAATAAAAATGTCAAATGCTTATGAATTGTTCAAAAATAGCCTGAATGTTTAGCACGTCTACACAAGTCTAATTCCGTAATAGTTTTAGCTCCCCACAAATATTTTAAATACAAAATAAATTAATAAATCAGTTAATGGCGTAAATTATTCCATTGTTCCTTTTTTGTTTTTCGGTTTTTTCCATTAATTATAAAGACCGCTTGGTCAATGAAAAAATGGCATTTTCAATACACCAATTTTGTTCAAAATGCAACTAAAATGGTTTATTGTCATTTTTTGATAGAAACAAGAATTCCAATAGAAAAACAAATTGTAAAAAATCAAAGAACTATATAAATATATATACTATAATAACTATATATAAATCAAACAAATTGCACATATCATAATAAAACATGACATACCTTACTCCACTTAGATAAAAAAAAAAAATCAATATCATTATGTAATGCCTTCTATTGGTTTCATTATTGATTTTATTAATACCCATTAATAATATTTTTTGTTTTAAAAGTGTATTGTTAAAGCTAATTAGTTTATGTTTGATATTTGAAACAACAACAAAAAAAAAAAAAAGAAGAGCTGATACTGGTAAGGGGTGTTATCACTGTTGTAGGTTGGAAGATAGAATATGTTAAAAGTTAGGGGAATTTAATTTATATTTGTCTGCAGCAATGAATTATTGATACAAAAACACGATTTTGAGCGGAGCTCAGTTAATCATATTACTTTTTTAACAATATACGTTTATGAAAACAATAATTGTTTAAGATAGATTAAAAGATTAAAATAAAAATAAAAACTTAATATTGTCCATAAATAAATTACAACCATAGTCCTTTGTTTTCCAAGTAACCATAATTAAATTACAATTTTTACTTTTTTACCCTTTAGGTCCTTTAAAACCAGGTTTTCTTCATTATCTCTATTATTGATTAGAATTTCAAATAATAAAATGTATTAATAACAAACTAGAGAAAAAATGCAACAAAAAAGATCTCATGTAATGTTTTGATTGATTCAAGATTTCTATGAGAAAAGTTGTTAACAGACAGAAAAAAACACAAAACAAAGGAGGACATACTTCGCACGTATGTGCAGCCACTGTAGTAGGTAGGAAGTTGGGAAGATAGTATACAGACGGGAATTTAATGTATATCTGCAAGTAAAGATAAATCATTGCTCAAGAAAAAACGGTTCTGAGCGAAATCTATTTCATAGTGTTGCTTTGTCAACAATACATATGTCATATCATGGTAAAATGAGTAAACCCATGCGCATTTTCATGACAATAATGATTCTTTAAAAAAAGATTTATAAAAAAATATGAACTTATATATAAACTTTGAAATAACAAAAAATAAATTTAAAAAAGTTGCCAATGACAACCGTTTATTAATCTTTTAATCTTGTTTAACTTAAAGAAATTGGTTATGCTCATTATCTCGAATATTAATGTAAATTTCATAAATTTATCTCTTTGAACTACCACCCAAAAATCATTTCCTTTCAGACAAGAAGCTACTTGATAAACAGAGTAAAAGCTTTCAGTTAGAAATAGTGTTCGCATAAAAAAAAATAAACATCATTTTAAAACTAATACATTTATCGCCCCGCTCAGAATCTAAAATACACATAGTAAAATCAGTACACTCCACTCAAAATATAAAATGACTTGATAAAACTAATTTCACAGTATTATATAGGCACCAACTATTTAAAATTATAAAAAAACACTATAGACTTTAATAATTTGAACATTTCCTGAGGTAATGCGCTTAAATAAATTGAACGTAAATAAGACGGTTATTCTTTGTTATTCCCAGTTGAGAAACCTCATAATTTATATGCGGCTTAAAATTATGCCAATCTAATTGTTTTGAGTGCGTTTATTAAAGATGTCAGTTTCCATACCGTATTATCGTCAGGTGGTATACGATAGAATTGACAGATTAATTATATACATTATACATCTATTCGAATTTATTTTTTTGAATTTTAAACACAGGAGGAATGTGAATTTTAAATTTTTTTTTTTTTCCAAAAATCTTGTTTTGGTATTCAAATATAGCATCTATTCTAAAAGAAAATATCATCTTTATTTGGGACATTGAAAAGGTTTTTTTTGATTTTCTCTATAGGTTTTTTAGTAAATTGAAAAAACTTAAGAAAAACCTAATCGATTTACCATCAAAAACGGTTTCATCGGTTTCGATTTAGTTGTTACTATTTAGAATAAAATTGTTTTTGTCGTTTTGAAACGCTTTAAAATTCAACACGGAGTTTATCATAAATTGCACTATGTGACTAAAAGAAAATAGTTTATTTGTACTAGTTGTAGTAAACATAGTTCAAATTTTGGTGAAATTCATAAAAAAATTTTACTCGTACTTCGTCTAAAACCGTTTTTTGTCAGTCCTGCCTTCCGTACTTCTACCTACAATTATTGTAGACCAATCATCAACCTTAACAGATTTTTTTTTTTTAGTTCCTCCAATTAAAACACTGTATTTCATTATAAAGCGTACATATTGTCAATTTAAAACTATATTTAATGTTATTGATTTAAATATTATTTTTGTTTAGACCGACCATGAACCGCAGGAGACGATCTCGGATCGGCTCCAAGACACGACGTTTCAGTATGCTACGTCACCGTCAGTCATTTCAGGAAACGCGTTTACTACCCCGACGAAAATGCACAATTCGATTGATTCACCAATACAGTCACACGTGAGTAGAACAAAATAAATAAAAATACTTGAGGTAAAAATTTATTTTGGTCTTTTAATCTTATCTGGATAAATGAGAAATAAATTACCTGAGCCGTTATCTGAGATAAATAATTGAATCGCATAGATAATAATATGTATCTGAATAAAACTATTTAAATTGTATATTTATTTAAAAACAATAAGCAGAAAATATATGAATTTTTTTAATATGATTTAATTTAATTTAATTCACTGATTATGAATAAGTTAAATCAGCTTTACAAAATGTTCGATACCTTCGTTTGTACTATAATATGATAACGCTTTAGCAGTTTTAACATTTAATAAACAAGTTATGATTATTTACCTTAATCTAGTTAATATTTTAGCAATTATCTCTTATATTCTGAGCTATGGAGTGACTTAATAAAAGCGCGAAAGACCATGGCCTGTAAGCTAAAAAAAAAATATCTTATATTTTATCTATATTTATTTTAATATGTTCATAACACTGATTGTGATAATATAAACACAACAACATTTTAACCACGTAAATTCTAAACGAAAACCGGAGTTTTTCGGGGGTGGTTTTTCATAGGTCGTCGGGCAACCATAATCGTGGTAAATGCATTGAAAAATTTAAAACAGTTTTTTTTTTCTAAATTAAATGATTACGGAAAAAATAAACATAAAAAAAAAAATATTGTGTACGCGAAATATCGCGTCCGTTTCTTAATGCACAGATATCAGTACGGCTGAAATTGTCTGGTTTTGTGCGACTTTTTGAACTTGTACGGGGGATCCGACACGACCGTTTCATACGTCCCGAACTCACGTGTTCTTAGGCCTTTGTGCACGGCGGGTTTGACACGGTTGACGCGCTGCATTGCGACGGGATAACCGATCTCGCTCGTGGCCAAACGGCGGCTGTTTACCGTTTGCAATACGTCGTTATCCGCCGTCACGCGGTTCACGCACCAGTCCGGATAGCACCCGATATCGTCGCTACTCTGCACGGTGGCCCTGTTTTCGGTCTCGTTTCCACGGTTTTCGTCGTAATCACGTTTACACCGGATGCTATTCATAATTGTTTCGCTGGTCATTACGGTGTGTAGCCGACGGACATGGTTGACCAGGGACGGAAAGTCGCCGGTGAAAAGGAAGCAAACGCCGCACAAAGCCACCACCGCATCCGGGTGCATTTCCAAAATGTGTTCGTATAGAGTCTGCAGATTCTCCGTAAAATGACAACAAATATCACACGTCAACGGCCTATCGCCCTTGACACGTCGGGTGTGCCTACCTCTGGACCGTCTTCTCGATCCCGTAGTCACGCAGTCACGTCTGCTGACATGCGTTTTCCCGATAGAACGGTCGACGCAACCGGCCCCGGAGTCGAGTTTTCCGGGCACGTTGACCGATGTACCTCTGACCGTCTTGCTAGCGAATATTTTCGATGACGTGTGGTCCATTTTTTCCACCTAACATGCACGAAAATCGGTATACGAAAAGATAAAGACGAACATACGATTAATAATAGTTAATTCGAAGCGAAGTGTTGTGGCATATGGAAACAAATCAACTAAATATAAATTACAATAGTCCTACCATCCGTTTATTCGGTAAAATAAAACAAACTTGGAGCCAGTATAATATATTATTGTTTGTGTGTTTTTTTTTGTATTCTGAATGGAACGATGAATGTATTGATTTTAAAAAAATGTTTATTTTTTTTTTTATGTGAACACTTTCTATTAGAACGCCTACTCCGATTATCAAGTATATCACCTTTTCTGAAACTAAATGTTCTGTGGTTTGTACTTTAAAGAGGTAATGTTTTGAAATCCTCATTATTAGTCGTGAAAATTACAAAATTCTAGTTGTTATATGTTAAAAAAGATTAAAAAATTAAAAATAAGATTGCCATTGGCAACCGTTTCTATTTATTTTTGTTATTATTAAATTTGTATTATTTTAAATCTTATTTAAACAAATGTAGTTACATAAAAATAAAAAAAGGATAATGTAACATTTTATAATTTATATAGTTCTAAAATGAGTTTACACAAGTCATTTTTGTTGAAAAATTAAGTATTTCATAAAAAAATAAAATTTAATCTATTACTTTGTATAGTTTATAATTAATCAGATATCTATGAAAATCGGAAATATATGATTCTGGAATATACAAATTCAGAATCCCGGTTTTTGAACACATTGAAATCTGAACGGTAGATTAGAATCGCTATAGACACTTGCAATCAAATATGACGTTCTCATTGATTATTATTATCAGTGATAGCTATCCTATGGTCTAAATGTTGCTTCAGTACCACACACAAAATTTGGTTGTTTAGTATAGTGAGTTGTTTAGTAACAAGATTTTATGATACTTTATTGAGTATATAACTTATGACAACGGACATAAAGCATAATGAAAATAACGAAACGGTATTTTTTGTAATTTTCCCATTTTTTCACGTTTTCTTTCCTTTTTGCCTCAATTAGTTTTAACAAAGAAAAACTACTCGTAAAATCAAAACAATTTGCATTTCAATGCACTAACTAGATTTAAAATGCTACAAAAAGGTATCTCGTCAGTTTATGATCGGATTGTGATAAAAAAAAAACCAGCACATAAAGTAAAACCCATACACTCCTAGCTTCCTTCAGAATCTAAAATTCATAATATGTAGTTGTAGTAATATAAATAATAGTTGAGAATAGAAATTGTATTGGTTAGATAATCAAAGACTTTATACATACGCGTGTGCCTAAATTGCATACCTAGAGCGCCGCGTGAAAAATTATTTTTAAATATTAAAATATTTTAGATTCTGAGTGGAGCCAAGAAGCTTATGGTTGTACAGAGATGTTTAGTTTTTTTTTGTATAAATAAAAATTTAATGTGTAAGTGGTTTTTAATAAGTTGCTCTGGTCATAATGTAAAAATAACGAAAAATCTCTGTTACGATGGTGTTTAATCCTGTTTTAAATTTAGTTTGAATAAAACATAAAATAAATTATCGATCACATTTGCTCACTACTAGTACAACAACGACTCGATCATTCTTCATTTATGTGTATAAAATTGTTTTTCTTGTTCAAAAGTTATCCGCCATAAGTTATACTTGGTGGGAAAAAATATCGATCGTAATTTCGTAATTTATATTTACAAGCCTTTGAAGTTCAAATTTTTAATGAAATTCGTCAAAAACACATACGACTGTAATTTATTTCGTAGATACAACTCGATGATTAAATGTTCAATTTAAATTTATATATAAACAAACGTCGTGTCGTAAAATTTAGTAGGTAGGCGATCATTATTTGTTTTCATTTACTATTTTCGCCTCGTTGATATTTTAGGTTTTACAGTTTACGTCATAATAATAATTATTATTTTTAGGATTCGATAATATTACGTTTAAACGTACAATTTACGCGTAGGATGTATAGTGGGTGTCCCGCGAGAATTGTCATCATAACTCTGGTGTTGGTAAAGAATTGTATATACTCTATAGTATTGTTTCAATACGTATACTTTTTGTACGCGTGGGGCCGTTGTTTTGCTATATATTATTTTAAATAAATAACACGATTACATTTTTATTTTTTTTTTTTAAAAAAAGATACAAATAATATTTTTTATTATTATTATTATTATTATTATTATTATTTTTTTTTTTTTTGCTTCTTGTATTCGAATAATATTTTTAACGCTGTGTTTTTTTTTAACTCAGTAATAGTTGCTATTGTGTTGATATCTCCTGTGGCAACATCGAATCCGACCATTATTACCTATAGTTAGCACACAATACAAATGAAATGTATTTTTTTGTTTAATTTAATATTGTTTTTTATTAGGTATATGTATTATATTTAAAAAAAATATTAAAACAACAAACTGACTCATAAAAAATATAATATTACACGAAGCCTATAAAGAAGGTAGTCATTTGTTTAACCTTTTATTCTTCTCCAATCTCATCATACCCGCTCTCATCAGCCTTTCATAATTCCATAGTCTTCTACTTAAATTATTCTCTCAACATTTTTCTCCTTGTACGCGCTGCCAACTCAAACCACGGGGCATTTTTTCAAAATTTAACGTGACAAACAAGAGAAATCTCAGTTTTCCTGTGGCCTACCACTACTGCTTCTTTTGTTATTGTCCTCAGCTCTTCAGTTTTACCTTTTTCAATTCAACCTAATTTCAGTCTTGGATCAATGATTTGAATAATCGCTATAATTGAAAAAATAATGAAACATTTATACAGTTTAATGTTTATTAATTGCGTTTAGTTTTTATGAAAATTTAATAAACAATTTTGTACGCTTTATGTTTTATATCAATAACATTGCTCCAAAAATAAAATGAAAAAAGATTATTGTTGTTAAATTTTTAATTTATCCACTGTACCATATTCAGTCTCATGAACATCGCAAGGATGGATTTTGAATACATGGAATATTTGTAACTAAAGCCCAGTTATGTTTATGGGATGTTGTAGGGACTGCTTATGCCCGGTTGAGCGATATTTAAATAAGCGATCAATAGGTAGTTACATTATAACATCTCAAAGATTGCAAATTAAAATCAATCAATAAGCAATTATGATAAATAATATCTCCAAGTTTGCATTAAATCACATCTATACGATATCACACTATAACTAACATATGATATTTAATTTTAACATCCCAAAGATTTTTATTTTTTTTTAATATCTATATTATTGTTTTTTTTTCTTCTTTATCAAAATGATTCAACATTTACTAATGTTGATATTTTAGTTTTATTTACATAGTATACACTTAATTCAATTGTTTATATAAACCAAGTTAAAAATTGTTATAATTGTACAATTGGAATATAAAGGTACTAAACAATATACATAAAACGTGGTAATAAAAAATATTATGTTATATATTTAAAAAAAAAAAATACAATTTTACTACCATCTTATGTAATATATTGTGATATACATGTAATATAATATAATCAATATTAATAACAATGAAAAATTAAAAACCAATAATAATATATACCTATTTTACAGGGTGTAACATGACTATGACATTTTTACATTGTATTTTCATTTGAAAATGTCAAACAGTCCAGTTAAACCCTGTACATATATTTATATAATATTATATATTCATCTTATTGTTTGTCTATATAAAAACAAAAAATTAAAATCAGAGAAATCATATTGAGGAACTTCCTCAAATTGAATTGTACATAATAATAACAGGTAGACTGATAAACAAAATAATAATTAATATTATAATTTTTTTCATTAATATAATATATTAAATTGTATAATAATATTGTATACATTAAAAAGGTATTTTAAATATTGTAGCGCACAGTGCATCTTTCAAAAGAGTGTCGAAAATATAAATATCTATGTATCTACCCACTCCGCCAGTAAAATATTAGTTTTGGCATAACAAAACTCAATTACTAATTAATATTTATAATATTAAATAAATATATATACAAATAATATCTAAACTCACCTGGCACCAGGTAGCCTCCAATTTTCTAAGGGCGTCAGTTGACACCCCAGATCCCTCCATTGTTGTGTGTCACATAATTATATAAATACCGTATTTATACATTTATATATTTATATATTATTATAAAACTACTCATATAGAACAAAATAATGGTTAAGCTGACAGAAATATTTAATACGTAGGTATTGTATAAGATTTTTCTATAAAAAAAAAAAAAACCATCATCAATATATTGGTAGCTCCTGGGATATTTTTTTTCCCGGTTTTAATCTATAGAGATACCTTTGGTCTGCTTATTTTTCAGCGAATTTAAATATAATCAAAACAAATTTTGAATTAAAATATACCGTTGTCCTTACTATACATTCATCACGCGATAATTTGTGCACTCGCGGTCCGCTTCCGATCGTTTCTAGTAAGGATGCGCAAGAAATAAGAATAATTACGAATTTTGGTCGATAGTCGTATGTTATTTTCGAGCGGCTTTAATGGTCAAATAAAACAAGTTGTATGCATGCGCATGCGTGATCCATTTTTACACAGTAAATCGTATACTATTGTACTATATTTTAACATAAATGTGATATATCAAAATAGAACATCGCAAATACAACTTTATATACATATCCCAGAAGCGTACTTACTCGAACGTGTATTATACATTGCATATATGTTATTTTTAAGAAGTATAGTTCACATAGTTTTAAATAGCCTATAAGCATCAAATAGATGTTTTTGAAAGAGGTTAAATTTGGTAACATCTATAAGAAGTTTTGGTTGAACTGTGGTACAGTAGGTAGTTTGTAAGTAAGAAAGTCGCTGTCGAGCTTTTACGAAAGTAATTTTTTTAACAATATTGAAAATAATATTGTTATTCTATTGTAATTTAGTTAAAAATATTCGTAGAGACTTGGAATTTGGACAAAAAATTATATTTGCCTTTTCT